CAGAAAGCCCGATACTTCCCGCGATTTTTTTGAGATCGTCGACCCACTAAGAAGCCAAGCTGCCGAATGGTTGGTCGGTCGATCGGCTGCTTGGCTGGTTCACTCACTCACCATTGTCGTGACCCGAGCAAGCACTTGAACTATGGTATCCAGAGCTAGATTCCATTGCCCGCCACAAGATAGTTCCACAAACTAATTTTCTGGGCATGAGACAGTCCTTTCCGTTGTTTCCTTTCTCTCCTCTCTCCTGGGACGATCATGGGCTGATAGAAGCAGGTACACAATCTTCTCATCTCAGCCAAAGGTCGGCAACTAGGATGCGGAGCGCTGACTCGAGCGGAGAGCCGATGGTGCGAATATCGTCAGTCATTCGCTCAGTCAGTCAGTCAGTCCGTCCGTCACGAAGGCTTCGCCAGCCGTACGCTTTCGACACTCTTCGGACTGGTGGCATTTGATGCGGCTGGATCGCTCGGAAGGGAGACCTTTGATGGAAGCCCTGTTTCGCTCTCCTTCCTCTATTCTCATCCGCTGTCGCTTTAAATTACTGGCAGACGCCATAAGCGCGAGATTTTCTTTAAGAAAGCCTATCGGTCGAGAGGAGGAGAACCATCCACGATTCTCTTCAGAGCCGCCGACTCCCGCAATCGGTCCAGCTGCAGCCAATCTCAGTCGAGTCTGCGAGGCATTGCCGCTGAATGTTCGCGGTTCCTCCCCTCCGACTTCAATGAAGTCCCGATCGGTTACGTATCTGCCCATCTCATCCTTGTGAACGTCGGATTTTCGATCGGGATAATTTCTCTGAATCTCTTGAACATTGATGATACCGCGTCGATCACGGTTGGAAACTCCTAGGACGCCGAAGGTTCGAACTCCGATGATTTCAATAATTGTCTTGACTAGCTCCACCTCGCTCATTGCTGAGCTATCTCCCTGATGGGGATATAGAGAACGTCTGATGTTTATTCAAAGAAAAAATGTGAGAGACGTCTGTTTGACTTCGTTACCCGGGTATCCGGACGACAGGTCTAACGTCACTCGGGATCAGAAATATTCGCTGAGGGACGAACCGTTTGTTCGTCGGAGACAATCGAGACGTGGCAGGCTGGTGAGAAGTTGATCCGCCGTACGGCTTACCAAGCGGCCTCGACCATCAAGCGCCGATTGAGATCGAGATGACAAAATCATATTCGGGCGGAATCTTCTCTCTCGAAGACTTCCTAAATCTTTTGAGCTTCCCCAAGCGGGACTTATGAGTTATGGGAGCGCGGCAGGGAGACACTGGCGCGCTCGTCGAATATTGAGAGAGGGATATGAGTAGACACTTGCTAAGAACGGGATTCGGCGATCGCCTAAGCTCTGCTTCGACTCCGCAACGGTCTGAGCCGCCTTCGTTCCGGGCCGAACGTCGATTGCGGGTCACGTGAGGAATGGGCACTTCCACCTGACTGCAGATGTCCATCCGCCACGAGAATTGCCCCGAGCCCGACAGGGGGAGGAAAGCAGAGCTTTCGAATCGGTGGCCGAATCGCTGGAGAATTTCCCGAGCCTGAGGGCTGGACCGCAGGCGTCGCCGTTGTCTCTTCCGTCGCTCGAGGAGAATCAGAAACAATGACGCTTCTCGGCGGGAACGAAAGACGGATAGGCTTCATGAGACCGTTGACTGTTGCGTGGATTCCTTTGAAAATTCCCCGTGATGTCATAAAACTCCATTAGGATAGGAGTTAGAGTCACCGAGGGACCTGTCGGAGACGAGCGGCCGGCCAGCGCGGGCGTCGGCTAGGAGAGCTTCCCCATCCGGAGTTTTGCCGCAGCGCGGTTTCTGGGCGTCCATCATTGATCACTCACAGCAGCTGTGAACACATACCCCCTTGAATCGACTTTCCTAGAGTCTGTCGGCAGTCAAACTGCTCCTTTCGGGTGCCCTCCCTGGCAACAACCGGAGGGGACACTGATCTGGACTTGTCGAGCGATCGCTTTGTCTCTGGATTCACGGCGCGCGTGGCGCATCGCGACATCACAGCTGGGTGGTTTGTTTGGTTTTCTTGTCCAAAAGTTCGCTAGAATCCTCGACTTGCTCGAAGTGAGTAAACTGCATGACAAAAGGGTAAGGAAACGAATTTCATGGATGGGCGATCCTTCAGAGTTCCGAATTACTTCATAAGGAGCGCGTGATTCTCCCCAAGTCCCTGCGATGCCGCAGCTGCTTTTTCACTCGTTTCTTGCGCCTAGAAGCATGGATATCCCCTCAGCTTGTACGCTTGTTGTCACACATCGCCAGTCATCGCCGGCGTTCTCGGCTCAGACGCTTCTGATCATAGCCGTCGCTTCCGCATTCTCGGCTCTTCATGCCATCATAGTCCATTGAAATGGTAACGGTCGGATCATTTATTCTCATTCCAGAAGAGCCCTATACGAAAATCTTCGGATTTAGGGCCTTTGAGAACATTCCAGATATTTGGAAGGAGGGGAGGGGAAAAGAAGCGATTACGGTGCGGATTCGCGCGTTTTGAGGATGCTGGAGCGAGAGAGGACCAGGCGATCGGAATCGTTCCGATTCCGTAAACTTTTCGGGACGGCGCTGACTTCTTTGCTGCGATTGAACGATCGAGATTCTGGGAGAGCGAAATCATATTGGAGCAGAGTGGGGTACTGAGAGATATTTTGGCATCGGCTGCTTATTTAGACGAGCCGCACGACTCTTCAACTCCGGTTGATAACGACCGTCGGGAAGTATGGGATGAGAAGAATCGAGGCACGGCAAATCCTCTTCCCGTACAGTCGAATCGAAGGTCTTATGCAATCTCCACTGGCTTTCCTCCGCGCCACCATTCCTATCGTCGAGATATCGGCGGCTCACGGGATCCAGATTTACAAGAGTCCGCTCAGGAGACGTCTTTCCAGGGACTTGGGTCATCAAGCGAGGTCGCGGAGAGAAATGCACGTTTCAAGCCGGAAGCGCCAACGAGGCGAGCTTTCGACCGTCTCACGGCTTCGCATGACGCGGTTTATACGGTGACAGCGTCGCGGACCAAGAGATAGGGTCTAGCTTCCGAAGAACACCCGAGTCAGTTCCCGGAAACACTTCGTGCGCCTGACGCTCCTGGCGTGCCGAGTTTTGAGGCCTGAGCCTCGGCTACCGAGCTCCGTCAGAGATACTTGCCTGGAAAGTGTGATGAAGCCAGAACGTACAATCGACCATGGGCTGCAAGGCAGCGCTAACTTTTCCTTGGGAGCTCCGAGAGCCCATCGAGTTGCCCCGGGAAGTCAGCCGCGATCCCATTCTGAGACACATAAGAAGCATTCCGTGGTCCGATCAGCCTCGGTCACGATGATTACGGGTTATCTTGAAGCAGTCACAAATGCGAGTCTACCCAACAATGAATGCCTTTGGCTCGCCGGTTCAGGAAGGAATCGCCCGAATCTCCCATCAATCAGGGATTCCTCTACCGCAAACCCATACCCAGATCCGTGGTACCCCAGCCGACTCATGATTTCGCGCCATGAGAGGACGAATTTTTCCTTGTGTCAACTTGGGAAAACTCGATGGTACCGGAGCGTCGGACATTACTCTTGGAAGATTCAAGCTGAAACTTTCGATTCGCTCCCAGATTCGGAAACGGGTGGTCATTCGATTTTCTCCGGGACCCTCTTTACTGCTCCCTGGGTTATCGAAGGTATTAAATCCTCGATCACGCAACATCATCGGTTCGCCAGCTCGCTCTACTACATACGGCATCTATTCCCTCGCAGCGACTCCAATCATCCGAAACTTTCAGTCATCCTGAGCAAACTAGCTTCGCTCTTTTCTTCGACTCGAAGGTATCGCTCTCTCATAGACAGGGATGCCCATTCGGTCCCAGCACGACGCGCCGAACATTCATGGTCGAGAACTGGAGATTACGTGAAGGGTCATGAAAGGAAAATAAGGCGAAGCTTCTCGTTTCCCGAGTTAGGCTGCTCACTCGACCTCAATTCTCCGAGCTACATCGCGAATGGAGACACTGAGAACCTGGAGTGCCGTGAATACTCGGCAACAGATTACCGACTGTCTGATGGGCGAACGATCTGACTGCTCGGACGACGCGCTGGGGCAGCAGCGAGAAAACGTTTTCAAGCTCTCGAAACAGGCAGAAGGTTTGGGAACAGCGGAAACAACCTATCAAATGGGACTAATATTCGTGGAGCAAGTTGAGCACGCATCCCCATCTCAGGATGTCATTCCAAGAAGAGATCAGGATCGATGAGATCCTCCTCTGAGGCCTGGAGGGACTGTCTCCTCCGCTCCGACGACCCTGAAGCGTTCCTGATGAGGGGAAATTATCCTCGCGGTCGTCCGCATATGGAGATGATCCCAGACGATTTCCGAAACGCGTAAATGAAAACGAAATGAGTATCATACGACAATTTATTGGTCTAAAAGTCTCCGCAGGTGATCGTTCGATGGATCCAGATTCAGTCGGCTTCACGCCTAATCTGGGTTCAGAGGGTCGCTCCCTGTCGATGTCGGCGAGTGAGTCTGGCGTATGCCTATTCAGCTTTGGCAATCGCGAAAGAAGATGTGATTCAGTAACTTGTGATCAACAAAATGATGCTTCTCAATCAGAAGTTCTACGACTAGGTCTTCTTTCGGTCGGAATCTTCAGAGCTGTCGAAATGTATAAAATAGTGACATATGTCTGGCGTCGCGTGGTTAGCCGAACGACCAGATTCGAAAGATCTGATCGAGCTCACCTCACGTGCTCGCCGCCTCGGAACCTACGTAGCGGTGCTTCTCAATGCCACGAGAGGAGATTTGAGAAAAACTTACTAGAGAATAAAAACTTTTCGTAAATAACACATTGACTCGACAGAATCGTGAGCAATCCTGCCGAACTCTGGGCCGGAAGGGATTTCCATCGAGACTTCGATCGAGTGGAGCAAGCTCTGAGTGAGATCAACTTGGGTCAATTGAGTTTCGAGAAAGCGCTCCTTGGGTTCTCGGATTCGGATCGAATCCGAAGTCACTCGACCGCATGGATATGCACAACAGTCGTTGGGTTCCGCGTGACCGACATGACGGCATCGTGGATCGTTGGGAAAAATAGTGGCTCTAGGACAATCTCTGAAACTCCGGCTTTCCGCAAAAGAGAGTACACGGCTGAGCTGCAACCCGCTACGCAGATGGTGAGACCTAACTTATGATACGATTCAACGACTTCTTTCAGCACCTGGGCTGAAGTTCCGTCCACGAAAGTGATGCGACTGAAGTCGAGAATTATTGTTTTCGCCTTGACTTGCTGAGCTGGCCGCCAGACCACATCGGCACTATCGTTGTGTTTCATATCCTCAGCTATTGGGTTCGCGTACTGGTGGCCATCGATGTTCGTGCGGCGTCCGAGCTCAGTTCGGAAGAATTCCGCATTCCCGAAGTGCAGCGGTCCTCCAAAATGGAAGATCTTCACCCCAGGAATCTCGATCGCCTGCACGTATAGCTTGATGGGCGCGTAGAAATCGGTGTCAGGAATCATTCCCAACAAGTACGTCTTGGGCATTTGGATCTTGAAGACGAGCGTTAGCAGAGAGAAAATCACTCCGCATATCAGCCCCAACTGGACATTCAAGATCACGGTCGCGAAGAAAGTGACCAGCCAAACGTGCTGAAAGAGGCGAGAACTCGATTGAGTATATGATGGATATCTCCATTAGAACCGTACTATTCTCTCTTCACCCCCAATCATCGTGATGTCCGGGTATCGAATGCTTACCCCGTCGATTTTCGAAATTGCCCAGAAGTTCGTGAAGTCGCGAATTTGCATGAAGATTTCTTTAGAGAAACTACGATGATCGAGGAGAGGATGACCGTCGGAATCTTCTCGAAGAGGGGTCCGAGGGCAACGATGGTGATCGCAATCAGCACAACGTTAAAAAAACTCACGAGCTGCAAAATCCCTGATTGAGTACCGAATCGAGAACGGAGATCGTAGCAATCAATCAGTTATCTGCGAAAACGGGATCGGTGTACGAACCTGAGTGCGGCCCCCTGCCAGAAACTGCAACGAGCTCCTGGGAACCGAAGCCCCGACCGGGAAGCAGCCGAAGAACGCACCGAATACGTTGCAGGCTCCGACGGCGAAGAGTTCCTGATTCGCACTTATCTGGTAACCCCTCTCTCTGGCCCAGATTCTACCCAAAGAAATATCGATGGTGACCGATACCACAGCGATTGCCAGAGCGTCGATGACCACAGCTTGGAAGAGCGCGCTGCTGATCACTGGCACCGTAGGCACTGGCAAACTGAAAATCGAGGCACGGGATTAACTCAATCCTGTCCGAGGCGGTTCATAAGAGCGTGTAAATATCTCTGTGTACGGGCGAAACTAGACAGCGCCGTGACTCACTTGTGTGGTATGTTTTCGATGACCTTGAAGTTGTTGCCCTTGAGATCGAATTGCTTCGATACTACAATGGACAAGATCACCATCAACATTTCGATGGGGAACGGCATGCGGATCTTGCGGAGAAGATATGGATCGACCATAATCTTCACCGCAAGAATGATGACGACGGCTATCACTGCGAAGACCAGCGTCGGCCAATGGGTTTCGTGGAGGACTCGGGTGAAGAAGTTGACGTATGTCTGGAATCCGGAATACCCAATTGAGCTTCTTGCGTAGACGGGGCACTCGATCCAATGCGGTGTCCAGAAATTCCCCAGAGAATGATTCCCAACCCTTGCGAAAATCCCACGGCGTGATATACACGGGCTTACCTTCACCAGCGAGAAAGCTCCGGAGTAGTGTTCAACTTCGAAGCCGAAGAGCCCACTGAGCTGTGAAGTCCCAATGTGGACCGATACGCCGGCGGTGAACCCCGAAATGAACTGGTCACTGAGGAACACGCTTAGGCCTCCGAGTTTCAGAAGCCCAAACAGGAGCAGGTACACTCCTGATAGCAGCGAGGTGGCCGCCGTCACATTGACGATCATGTCGTCCGGAAGGTCCAAGGCCGTGCGGGCCTTGAACACGACCTGCGACGTCATGATGCAGACTACGGCAAAAGCTCCTATGGAGTTTTGCCGCGATGTTCCCATCAGAATATACATCATCATCGGGAACATCGCTGTGTATAGCCCGTTGACGGCTGGCACGCCAACGATCAGCGCGTACCCGAAAGCTGTCGGGAGAATTTTCGCTTTAGAGCCAGTCGACCTATCTCCTCGGATTCGGTTAACTTTCATACATCTCAAAACGCCAATCAATCATTTCGAAATTTATGATGCTCCTCACCTTGGGGTACGTGGAATATTGCCAGCGTTATTCCCGCCAGCAGATCTGCGATCAGGTCGCCCTTAAAGTCGTGCTTGGGCAACCAATCGAAGATCGGGAATAATCCGCAGAAGGATTTTTTGGTGTTTTCGACACCTACGTTGTCGGAGACGACCTTCTTTACGGCTCCGACCAGATTTTTCTTGCCTGAAGAGAGAAGATTCGTCACTTTTTCCGCCTCCTTCATCAGAATGACCCGCCTCTAATGACATACACGGCGTCTTGTGGGAATCGCCCGGGATATTCTCCCGGGCTGGACTTTACAGACAAACCTTACGTCCCGGGGCTCACTGAGTAGGTATCCCTCCCGGGGACGGATCCCGGGAGCGAATATCACCGAGCAGATCATGGCCGAGAACCCGCTCTTCCGCGAGGGAATGCCGGTAGGGAACTCGACCGGCAGCTGGGTTCGAACCAGAGCCATTTCCCTCGCGAGCGGTGACGTTCCAGACATGCACATTTTGCACGATGAGGGAAGACGCGCCAAGCTCTCGGCCACCCTTCGGTTGGGGAAGATGTTGCCGCACATTCTACACTCTTTCCCTCCCCCGAAGTTCTCCACAGGACGACCACGCACATCCAGCAACGACTCTAGACATGCCCTCCCCTTTGGATGGATTTCGCTCTGGATGACGACGGCAGCCCGCCGTAAATGCGGTTTCCCTAACTGTACGATTGAGCGGGAAACGGTTCTTCGAAGCACAAAAAAACTCTCGAATCAAGGCTTCTTACCTTTCGGGATCTCCCCGAACCTCGAGTCGAACGAGGGTTTGGTGTAGATTCTCCTCGTGTTGCCGTTTTCCGGCAAACCGGCTCTTCCGGCTTCTTCATCCCTCTGTTTAGCCCCGAGGTCTGCGCTGAAAGCCGAAGAGAAGAAGCTATTTCACATGATCATTTTAACGCACATTGTGTCAAGGCGAAAGAGAAGTACATTTCAGCTAGGATCCTTGTCCACATGTCTGGCTAAGGTTCGCTCGTTCAGAAGCCTACCCTCATGACTTTAACGATTTCCTTCTTCAGGGATCCTCTAATGCAATCTCTCAAAAATCTCAAGCCTGACTTCCCACTGTGTGCGCCCCTCCCCCCCTCATCGACGAGGCGACGCCGACGCTTCGGTCTCCTCTCTGAGGAGAAACTCGCTCCAGCAACAAGGCTCTTTAATTGCATCCGTCTCGCCGACACGAAGGCACGAGACTCCATTTCTGCCATACCGCCTGAATTCGATTTTCAGTCCGCATGACCGAGCAGAAAGTCGCGCTATCTCCGCGGTAGCCTGACGTCCAAGAACCCCGGACTAGTATCGATTCTCCGATATAACCGAATGGAGATACCGTCGGATCTGCAGAGGGGTGAGCGCCTTCGAGAGTATCATAAAAGCTCGAATCCGATCCTCCCCGATTGCAATAAGGAGCAACTAATGAAGAAGTACCGGACGCCCTCGGAACCATTCCATCCTTGACCATCCTGTGCTCACTACCGCGTTGACGTACACGACCTATCCTCTCGAGAAGCTCCAGAGCAACACAATTTACCGTGAACCTTGAAAATCGCAGAGCGCGGCCCACCTGTTCGAATCCCATCAGAATTCTGAGAAAGATGTCTTAGGCGCTGAATCGGTGGAACATATCGAAAACACACAGAAGTAGGCCAACACTCGTTTTTGTTTTGAAACAGTATCATTTGGCTTCTACAAAATTGTTTTCATCTCGAAACATATGAAGGTGACGCCCGCAGCGCGGAAGCGACCCACGCCGACGCGACGCCGGTCCTTACTCTGCATGTTCAAAGGTATTATCGTCGAGCGAAGACCACGGCGGCGACCATGACGACGGCATTCGTCAAAAGGTGCTGGAGACATCTAACCTGTCGAAAAACTCGCTCCGAAGCTCCGGAGTATGCGCGAACTCCCGTGACCAGAGAATCCGGGAATCGCACGACAGGTGCGGTTCGGAGAGACCAGCGACGCGGGATGGGAATCGCCTCCGCGAGGCAGCGAACGTTTAATTTTTCACTCCGCGCAAGTTGAACGCTTTCCCTCTTCTCAGAGTCACGTTAGATTCCGATTGAACTTCTGAGAGTCTAGAGTCTAGAACATACCTGCGCATGTGACGGGGTGATAGCCCGGAATAAAACACAAAGCGTGTTTATTTACTCTAAGATTGAGGCACAAACTGGGCTTGCGCTCAATCAGTCAGCAGATCCGAACCCTCTTCGGGTGTCTGTTTCTGTGGGACTTTTCCCTCAGATGAATCGTACGAGTGTCGTGCTGCCGCGATTTAGCGAGCATTAATGTGGCAAAACACGCGGACCGATGATCGCTCACCGTCTGAAAAGCGTCGATTTGAGCGGCAACGCTTGTAGTACAAGTCGGAGCAGAACCAACCAACTAGAACATCACGCCAGACGATTCTGCCTCCCGGCTCGAGAACAGTCTCAATCATTGTAGAAGAAACCTCGGGATTAGCCCTCGACTGCATCATCGGTTTCATATCGGTCTCTGAAGATACTACGAATTCGCGCATGGCTGCTTCTGTCTTAATATCCGATGCAGCGATTCCGCTCCCGGAGGGAAGCTAGACGAATACTTCCGACTCCTAGGAACACCAAGAGTCTCAGAAATCCGCTCCTTGTGACATTCGGACCCGTAAAACCCCAGCACGGATACTCGGATTTCGCTCCGTCACGCTGGGATCTCGTCGAGAGAAAGGTTCAGGTGTCATGACACAAGTCTCGAAAAGCGGTATCCGGGTTTGGAGGAATTTCGCTTCCAAAGAATCCACCGCATTAAGTAGAGAATAGTGTAAGGTAGCGGATACTCTGGTCCGTCCCTGCGAGTCGAACTGATCGCTCCTTCCGAAAACTGTCTGAGTCTGTTTCTCCAGTCATGTTGTAACATTATTATTTCGTAGAGGAGAGTCCCGATTCCGATAGCGGGGATCACAGAGGGACGAAGGAGACTCGTGTCTGCGAGGAAAGCTAGGGACTTGAGTGGCCTTGGGACTTACAGGGCTCGGGGTTCCGGGGAATTGTTGGCTCGTGAGGGGCCTGCGAGTCCAAGGGGATCGGTACACCGATGAACACGCCAGGATCCCGTCGAACTTGGACTGCCGCCGATGTGCGGTGCCGGTCGTTTTATTCATCGACTCTAAGTCTCTTTCCACTACTTCCTCGATCCCCTATGATTGGATCGTCACCGCCGCGCCTTCCAGAGCGCGCGGATTCCAAACACTCGTCGCGCGGTCGTGTTCTGTTGGGCTGATTGTCCCCCACACTGAGAAGGGTAATTTATGAATCCTCGGTTGCTTCGCGACTCCGGGATCCCGTACCATAGATAACAATCGAAATCGGAGTCGCTCCACATACGGGGCTGGATACAAGTTTACACTTAGGATTCCAGCTGTGGGGCTGCCGACGTTTCCCGGGTGCTAGATGCTCGCTTCTCGATCGTGGTCTCCATCGAGCTTTGTTACAATATGAGGCTCAGCTTATTGATGCAATCGGCCAATCAAAGAGCGGGCTCATCTCATCCCTCGTGAATTCGAATCTCCCTCTTATGCTTAGATCGGTGTGCTTGTATCGCACGCTGTTTTTCATGCCCTTAGATCCGGGACTTCACACGGCAATTCGTCGAGCCCCTTCCGGAGGCTCTTCGGGCCTCAAGCCTCAGCGAAGCTCCACTCTGTACTGTCCTGAGGAATCCAGAACGGAAAGACCCGGATACAGTCGGGAATGCGACAATCAGAGGAGCGCGAAGAGCTTCCAACAAGTGCGGTCTCGAATGCAAAATGCAACAGGTGCACATCGCTTGCACAATTGGCTCGGATCGATAAGACAGACGCTGAACTCAGAGTTTCCCGCATCTGTCGCGGTGATAAGATGTGATTCTGACCACAATTGTGAGTAGCACGAACAAACTCATATATCAACTTTCGAGATTAAAATTTTCCGCTCCATCCACAGAAGAGGAGACGAACTATGGGAATTGAATCGGAGAAAAAACCAACGATACACCGGTGAGTCATGCTATTGTCCGATATTCTCATGGAATACCGAGCAGCCGGCTCCCAGGTCATGGCTCTCAAGCAAGACTGTATGCCGTCAGCGCGGATGACCGAAACCAATCGATTCGAGGCTCAGTTCGAGTTTGCAAGGCAGAGTCGCTCTTCTAGCTGGAAGTTCCACATAAGGACATCGATTTTGCCATCGCTTCATAAAAAAGGAGGCCGCTTAGTCTTTTCCGAATTCATTCGACGTACTCGGTTCCACAAGGGATCGGGAACCGATCGTCTGAAGAACTCGACTGCATTGGACTCAGAAAAAAAGTCGTCTCTCGAAAGGTTGCGAAGAAGCTCTGCCGAAAATTTTGTACAACTTGACAAGAGGTTTCCCAGCCTTATTCTGAATAACGGGAACCATACCGCAAGTTCATCGAGTCCATGGATAACCCATGATACCGGCTACTTCAGGCTGAGAGTTAAGGTCCGAACTTGATCGAAAATAATCGCAGAACTCACCCGTGGAGGAAATCCATGTTTTGCTGACCAACAGAAGATATGCGGTGCTGAGAAGCGTTTGCGAACTGCACTACGAAGTCTGACTCTAAGGGAGGAGGTCTTAGTCCAAGCAGTTACAGCGCATGCGTCGATCTCTACTGACTCCTCGTCAGGCTCCCTTATATCTGACTTCAGCGATCCTGTTGAGATGACGGGCAGCTCTCCCCGGACGACGCCGCCGCGCCGCCATGCCACGCAAGGTCATCGTTGGCGGCTTCAGATGTATTCACGCACGTCGGAGCAGCTGAGATCTTACGGTGCAAGCATCACAAGGGCACTAAAGCGTCCCCCGCGCTTCTGATGGGAGTTCCTCGGGACTCGCCCGGACCGGTTCGAGCGTGCAGTCTCGGAGCGGTCTCGGGTTGAACCAGCCCGACTCGAGCCGATGGGACGGCTCAGACGGGAGCTGTGCCGGCATGAGCGACCCCCGTTGTATGACTTTCAGGCTTGATTCGATCAATGGCTTCATGAACAATAAATCAATCAATCAATCGGATTTGAATTCAGCTGACGCACATGGATACTCAATTCGTTTCCTCGGTCTCAGAACACAGTTCATCTACTCAAGTGGGTGGACCTGGAGTATATTAGAAGAGCTCCTGAGAATCATGGTTTCCTCCAGCGGCTTAACATAAAGAACCGGCTATATGGGACGAGTTGAGTGCAGAACGCATATGTTTCCCACGCATGGTCAGGTGGGTATGTTTGTCATTTTCCGCTTGTTCGAGTATGGGATGAGTTCATGAGAGCCAAAATGGAACTATTGGAGCGGCGGCAGAAGCCCGAAACGGGAGTGTGTCGTCCATCCGTCACGCGGAAAGATCTGATTTTTCGTACAGCGGGAACTTCCGCATCTCCCATGGTCGGTCTTGATTAGAAGGTACCAATGTATCTACATACGTGTATGAGAGGATACGGTCGGGCTTTCTGGGCAAATGTGACAAACACATATTATACCAAAAAGCACGGAATCGATCTCGAATGCAAGCAATGCGTCAAGTCTATGAATACAGTTCGTAGGTCATCAAATTCAACGCGCCGGCTCATCGATCAAAGATACTTCTGAGGGCGCTCGTTCCTGTTGGAGTTCAGTTCTATCGTCGCTGGATCAAAATCCCTGTCGAGCATTTCAGCCAATATTATATCTGACCAGTCCTCATTCTATGACGATCAGAGCTCGGTGTCGCTCAAGCCATGTTGCCTCCTGGATACATTCTATTATGGATCTTCTGCAGATGTTTTCTGACCCGAGTTCAGATTGTGGATGAAAAGCGCCGATCGTCAACGAAGATAACAAAGATACATATCGAGGATGCTCAACATGTCAGGGTAAGGCATTGTCATGATTTCCTGATGGAGTCGCGAGCCCGTTCACGGGTTCACATGATTCTCATTTTTCCCCTACACCTTCAAGCGACTCTACAACTGGTGTTTCATCCAAGTTTCCGTCCTGTCGGCGGTCATCTTCCTTGGACGAGTTTCTGTCTTGGCTCGGTTAGGATATCTCGGAGTCATTCTGAAGTCATCACTCCGAGTCGGTTGCGAAAGATCAACGGATCGAGTCCGTGCGTGGGTTCTACATTTATTGATATTCGGGGCACCGCTACCTGAGACATTTCTATGGAGTTGCCCGCCGTTGATTCTGACGTCGGCGTAGATTAGACTGTCCTGAAGATTTCAATCCATCGTGCTCGACTGGTGGGTTGAATCGTCTACGAAGAGCAGCGGTCGGGTCACTGATTTCGGCGAAAACCGGCGGCGGTTCGGGGTCCGCCTCAATGATCTACGAATCCGATCATGCGCTCTGGAAGAACGACAGAGGAGATGACCGCATACGATTCAAAGGAAGTCCGCCCCCCCCCTCCCATGAGTGATTGTTCGAATCTCAGATGAGAAACTACCGGGCAAAGCGGAAGCGGGGAATTCTACCGGGAAGACCGTTGAAGCATGAGGATGATGGCCCTGCTTCCGGACCTTCATCTCTTGCATTGTGAGGGAGTTCCAGAGTCTCGATCACCCCTCGAGCAACGCTCCTGTCTCTTCCGGCCCAGTGCTTGTGATTGTTCAGCCGCGGTTCAGGTGACGCGCGATCACCTCAAACTCCGTCTCGAGAAGCTCAAACTCCGAGAATCAAGGCGCGAGCTGCGACGGAAGATAATCAGTGCACTGTGCTTAGTCGAGGCACCCGATTCGAACGGTGCGAGAGAGCCGGTGACTCGTCCAAAAGTTCGCTAGAATCCACGACTTGCTCGAAGTGACTGAAGTGCATGACAAAAGGGGAAGGAAACGAATTCAATGGATGGGCGATCCTTCAGAGTTCCGAATTACTTCACAAGAAGCGCGTGATTCTCCTCAAGTCCCTGCGATGCCGCAGTCGCTTCTTTACTCATTTCTTGCGCCTAGTGGGGCCCATTCGTATTCGTGAATTCGAGTACGAATATATCCGATTTTTTCATGAATACGAATATATTTATTCTCAGGCGAGCTCAGAATCGACCTCAACGTGCCCAAAAACCCCCAATTAGCCTCTCAGCTCGTCTTCGTAGCCTCATTAGGTAGTGGCAGTCTAATTCGTATGAATACGGGCGTATTCACAAATATGTTATGAACACGAATAGGTATATTCGTATTCATAAAATTACCGTAAATATTTGTATTTGTATTCACGAATATGAATATGCCCCTCTCTTGTAGATGCATGGATATCCCCTCAGCTTGTGCGCTTGTTGTCACACATCGCCAGTCATCGCCGGCATTCCCGGCTCAGACGCTTCTGATCATAGCCGTCGCTTCCGCATCCTCAGCTCTTCATGCCTTCATAGACCATTGAAATGTCAACGGTCGGATCATTCATTCTCATTCCAGAAGAGCCCTATACGAAAATCTTCGGATTTAGGGCCTTTGAGAAGATTCCAGATATGTGGGAGGAGGGGAGGGGAAAAGAAGCGATTACGCGGCGGATTTGCGCCTTATGAGGATGCCGGAGCGAGAGAGGATCGGGCGATCGGAATCGATTCGATTCCGTAAATTTTTCGGGTCGGCGCAGACTTCTTTGCTCCGTTTGGACGATTGAGATTCTAGGAAAGCGAAATCATATTGGAGCAGAGTGAGGTGCTGAGACATATTTTGGCGTCGGCTGCTTATTTAGATGAGTCGCACGGCTCTTCAACTCCGTTATCTTATTATCATCGACCGGGGGCTGACCGGAACTCCTTACATCCAGCATGCCACTGCGAAAGCAGCGAAGGCCGCACATGCTATCGCTCGAATAATGCCCCGCTCCGGCGGAGCTAACGACCACTGGAGGCGAATTCTGGCTTCCGTGGTGGACTACATACTGTTGGCCTGCGCCTGCTCTCCATAACCGGGCCTGCGCGCCTGATCAGGAACACAATCGTCGTCCTCCAGCAGAAGCATGAGCAGGCAATAAATAAAAACGGCCGCTTTGATTTCGTCTACGACGATTGACGCACGTGCCTTTCCTCATCCCAGGGAATCCCCGTAATTCTCAGTACCGAGGTCCTAATTCTAATAGGTTATGGGCCCAGGAACGAGACGTCAGACTGTGGGTTCCACTGTGGGAACGACTCCGAGGATAGCTCCTGGAAAAAGACCGTCGAAGCGACCAGCAGCATCCATGTCGACAACGACCACCGAAAGGTGTGAAAGTGAGCCTCCTCCTGAAATTCTGATGAGAAAATCTTCGACTTCTGAAAGTCAGGTGAGCAGTCGACCTCAAGGAAAGCCACGGCAGTCAACAGTCGCGGCAATAAGTGCCCCGTCTTCCTTCGAGAAGCTCGAGGGAGCGTCAAACTATCTCAGCTGGAAGCTCTCAATGAAAGCGCACCTTTTCAACTGCGAACTGGTGGAGTACGTCGAAGGCTCAACACAAGATGAGTACCAGAATAAGCGTGCCCGCGGAGCAACTATTCCCGGCATCAAGACAAACTTGTTCCCGTCGTTTCGAGATGCAGCTTCCGGAAAAGAAATCTGGTATATCTTGTAGTTCGAAGTTGCCCTGCTGTAAGAGCTTACCAGTCTCAAATACACAGACTGTGTGGATATGGAAACGTACATATATCGGAAGGTTACAGCGGCGCAGAACTTGAAGGCGATCGATAATGACATCAAGGATAGGCTTCTAGCAGACCTCATATTAATGAAACTCCCGGAGGTGTTCACTCCACTCATCCAAAGTCTAACTCAAGTCTAGGTTACCACTGAGTTCGTCAAAGAGCGACTGCTGACCGAGCTTCGATTACCGCGGCTCGCAGCTACGGGGGTGCGGACGTGGCTACTCGTCAAGGGAACCTCCGATGAAAGAAAGAGGACTGTCGTCCAGAGGAAGAACCTTAGGAGACACCCAAAGCGCACGGGAATGCTACAATAGCGGGAGATTCGGACATCTACAAAAAGATTGCTACTCGGCCGGAGAACACGGAAAAGTGGCATACGAAGCGAGAACCAAGGAAACCAACTCGATGGATGACGAGGAGCGAGCTGATTTCGTCAATTCTGAACAAGTCTCGATGTGCCCACCTCAAGATGCTCTATCGAACTCCTCACCCGATTGGTTCCTTGATTCCGGAGCCACCGGACACATGACGGGGCGAAGGAGCCTATACGTTTCGCTTGACGAATCTGTTAGCTCTAGATTTGTAGTGACAGCGAACAACAAAATCTCAAGGTCCAGCGGGGTCGGAGATGTCACTATGAGCTTCTTCGTTCATGGAGAATGCCGCAGAACAAAGCTCTGTGATGTTTTATACGTCGCAGACCTTAAGGTAAACTTGTTGTCGGTCAAACAACTCACGAAGAGAGGATTCCACGTGGTCTTTGATGCACGAAGGTGTGAGATAAAGAATGGAGGAGGAGTCACGTGTGCGGAACCTACTTGTTCAGAAACGGACTCATATCGATTGAAGTGCCAAACCCAAGCCCCAGCCGTCCACGGTCATGTTCCCCACAGGTCGTATGACCTTTGGCATCGGAGACTGAGCCATCTGCACTTTCGAGCGATAAGGAAGATGGCTAACGGACTGGTATAAGGAGTCGATTGCGATGTTCCCCCGGATGGAGGTGCCTGTTGGGCCTGTGCTGGCGGAAAGCAAAGACGGAATGAGTTTCCGCGGTCATTATCCGTCACGAACTCCAAGCTACAGCTAGTCCATTACGACGTTTGTTGCCCTATGGCAGAAAACAGCTTGGATGGTCATCGTTTCTTCGTCGTATTCGTAGACGATTTCACGCGCATGACCACGGTGGCTTTCATGAAAGAGGAATCGGAAACATATGAAAAACTGGTCGAGTTCATACGGTACGCTGAGAAAGGGGCTGAACATGGACTGAAGAAACTACGAACAGATAGCGGTACGGAATACTTGAACCGGGGGGTATCGAGCTTTCTGAAGGAGCGTGGGATTCGACATGAGACAACGGTGGCTCACTGTCCGGAACAGGATGGACGCGCAGAAAGAGCGATAAGAACTCTCGTCGAGAAGGCGAGGTCAATACTGACGGACGCCGGCCCGACCCAAAGTTTGTGGGCAGAAGCCGTACTGACAGCTTGCAGGCTGAAAAATGTCACAGCACGTTTTTTATTTTTTTTCTGTATAGAAAAATATTCATTTATTGTCGTCAACGAAGACGCAACTATGAGGCGACGGAACCTGAACTCGTATATATTGCATTGAAACAATGGAATGATTTTGACCACTTCATCGAAGATATGGATTCCAATAGCTTTGAAATATTCCCTTGACCTGGAGAAGCATCCTAGACTGTCGACCGACCATTCGAAAGTCTGGATGAGAGCCGCACCAGTCGTGACTGTCAGGGCGACGGCAGGTGTCAAGGGTGACGCAAGACATTTATCCGCTCGAAATCTCCGGGCTCCGGATGTCTAGGATGAACTAGTCTGGTGCTTGAGGAATAGATGGTAGAGGCTCGTCGCGCCAAGCGCGATGGCAGTCGGAACGACCCAAGCTGACAGACTGCCCTCAGATTGAGATGGCTCGGGGAACTTGGATTTCTCGGCAACCTTCTTGATCTTCGCTTTATCCTCATCGCACAGGTCGCCGATTTTGTATTTGGCCATAAGCTCTCTTGCATCGGTGGAGTGTCCGACGTCTTCGAAAACTTCAGTGCTTTCCCGTCCACCTTGTTCAAGAAGCACTTCTTCGCCACCCGGATGCTCCTCCATGAACTTCGTGACATCGTAGATTCCTTCATGAATCACGAGCCAACACGAACTCTTCTCGTTGTGCTTGGCGACATCTTCAAGTGAGTACGTAGACATTTTTTCGCTGCGGATTCGGTGCGGTTGATTCAGCTCACTTCTCCTTATCTCTTCGCGTGAGTTCGAAGTTGATCGAAAGAAATCGCAGAACTAACCCGTGGAGGAAATTCATGTTTTGCTGACCAACAGAAGATATGCACTGCCGAGAATCGTTTGCGAACTGCACTACGAAGTCTGACTCTAAGGGAGGAGGTCTTAGTCGGAGCAGTTACAGCGCATGCGTCGATCTCCACTGACTCCTCGTCAGGCTCTCTTTTATCTGACTTCAGCGATCCACTCAGATGACGGGCAGCTCTCCCCGGACGACGCCGCGGCGCCGCCACGCAAGGTAATCGTTGGCGGCTTCAGATGTATTCACGCACGTTGGAGCAGCTGAGATCGTACGGTAAGCATCACAAGGGCAGTAAAGCGTCCCCCGCGCTTCTTATGGGAGTTCCTCGGGACTCGCCCGGACCGGTTCGAGCGTGCAGTCCCGGAGCGGTCTCGGGTCGAACCCACCCGACTCGAGCCGATGGGACGGCTCAGACGGGAGCTGTGCCGGCATGAGTGACCCCCGTTGTATAACTTTCAGGCTTGGTTCGATCAATGGCTTCATGAACAATAAATCAATCAATCAATCAATCGGATTTGAGTTTAGCTGACGCACATGGATACTCCATCCGTTTCCTCGGTCTCAGAACACAACTCATCACCTCAAGTGGGTGGACCTAGAGTATATTAGAAGAGCTCCTGAGAATCATGGTTTCCCGCAGCGGCTTAACATAAAGAACCGGCTATATGGGACGAGTTGACTGCAGAACGCATATGTTTCCCACGCATGGTCAGGTGGGTATGTTTGTCATTTTCCGCTTGTTCGAGTATGGGATGAGTTCATGAGAGCCAAAATGGAATTATTGGAGCGGCAGCAGAAGCCCGAAACGGGAGTGCGTCGTCCATCCGTCACGCGGAAAGATCTGATTTTTCGTACAGCGGGAACTTCCGCATCTGTATGGTCGGTTTGGATTAGAAGGTACCAATGTATCTACATATGTGTATGAGAGGATACAGTCGGGCTTTCTAGGAAAATATATCTTACACATATTATAGAGAAAAGCACGGATTCGATCTCGAATGCAAGCAATGCATCAAGTCTATGAATACAGTTCGTAGGTCATCTAATTCAACGCGCCGGTTCATCGATAATTTAAGATACTTCTGAGGGCGATCGTTCCTGTTGGAGTTCAGTTCTATCGTCGCTGAATCAAAATCCCTGTCGAGCATTTCAGCCAATATTGTATCTGAGCAGTCCTCATACCATGACGATCAGAGCTCGGTGTCGCTCGAGCCATGTTGTCTCCTGGATACATTCTATCATGCATCTTCTGCAGATGTTTTCTGACCCGAGTTCAGATTGTGGATGAAAAGCGCCGATCAGCAACGAAGATGACAAAGATACATATCGAGGATGCTTTACATGTCAGGGAAGGGCATTTTCATGATTTTTTTATGGAGTCGCGAGCCCGTCCACGGGTTCCCAAAAATATCGTTTTTCCCCTACACCTTCAAGCGACTCTACAAGTGTTGTTTCATCCAAGTTTCTCCCTGAGCAGCTGACAGATAAGCTTTGGTACCCCATTGGAAGGAATCGATTTCGAGAAAAGTGCGGATGTGCTCTATAGGGGCCACCTCTTCACTGAGGAAACCCTGACGACGGTCATCTTCCTTGGACGAGTTTCTGTCTTGGCCCGGTTAGGATATCTCGGAGTCACTCTGAAGTCATCGCTCCGAGTCGGCTGCGAAAGATCAACGGATCGAGCCCGTGCGTGGCTTCTACATTTATTGATATTCGGGGCACCGCTACGAGAGACATTTCTATGGAGTTGACCGCCGTTGATTCTGACGTCGGCGTAGATTATACTGTCCTGAAGAAATCAGTCCATCGTGCTCGACTGGTGGGTTGAATCCTTTACGAAGAGCAGCAGTCGGGTCACTGATTTCGGAAAAAACCGGCGGCGGTTCGGAGTGGATGGCCCTGCTTCCGGACCTTCATCTCTTGCATTGTGAGGGAGTTCCAGAGTCTCGATCATCCCTCGAGCAATGCTCCATTCTTTTCCGGGCCAGTGCTTGTGATTGTTTAGCCGTGGGTTAACTGACGCGCGATCACCTCAAACTCCGTTTCATCGAGCGATAATAGAGGCGCGAGCTACGACGGAAGATGATCAGTGCACTGTGCTTTGACGAGGCACTCGATTCGAACGGTGCGAGTGAGCCGGTTTTCTCGCCCTGAAGTTCGCTAGAATTCTCTACTTGCTCGAAGTGACTGAACTGCATGACAAAAGGGGAAGGAAACGAATTTCATGGATGGGCGATCCTTCAGAGTTCCGAATTGCTTCATAAGAAGCGCGTGATTCTCCTCAAGTCTCCGCGATGCCGCAGTTGCTTCTTCACTCGTTTCTTGCGCCTAGTTGGGCATATTCGTATTCGTGAATACGAGTACGAATATATTCGATTTTTTCATGAATACGAATATATTCGATTTTTTCATGAATTCGAATATATTCGATTTTTTCATGAATACGAATATATTCGATTTTTTCATGAATACGAATATATTCGATTTTTCCATGAATACGAATATATTCGTATTCGTATTTATGAATATATTTGTATTCATAGAATATTTGCGAATACGCCGGTATTCATACGAATGACACTATTACCGATAGCTCAATTCTCAGGTGAGCCCTGACCCCGGAATCGACCTCAACGTGCTCAAAAACCCCCCAATCAGCCTCTCAGCTCGTCTTCGTAGTAGCCTCATTGAATAGTGGTAGTCTCATCCGTGTGAATACGGGCGTATTCACAAATATTTCATGAACACGAATACGGATATACCTATTCGTATTCATAAAATTATCGTAAATATTTGTATTTGTATTCACGAATAGATGCATGGATATCCCCTCAGCTTGTGCGCTCGTTGTCACACATCGCCAGCCACCGCCGGCATTCTCGGCTCAGACGCTTCTGATCATAGCCGTCGCTTCCGCATCCTCGGCTCTTCATGCCATCATAGTCCATTGTAATGTTGAGGGTCGGATCGTTTATTCTCATTCCAGAAGAGCCCTATACGGAAATCTTCGGATTTAGGGCCTTTGAGAACATTCCAGATATGTGGGAGGAGGGGAGGGGAAAAGAAGCGATTACGGTGCGGATTCGCGCGTCATGAGGATGCCGGAGCGAGAGAGGATCAGGCGATCGGAACCGATCCAATTCCGTAATTTTTTTGGGTCGGCGCTGACTTCTTCGCTTCGACTGAACGACCGAGATTCTGGGAGAGCGAAATCATATTGGAGCAGAGTGGGGTGCAGAGAGATATTTTGGCATCGGCTGCTTATTTAGACGAGCCGCACGACTCTTCAACTCCGGTGTATAACGACCGTCGGGAAGTATGGGATGAGATGAATCGAGGCACGGCAAATCCTCTTTTCGCACAGTCGAATCGGAGGTCTCATTCAAGCTCCCCAGGCTTTACTCCGCGCCACCATTCCTATCGTCGAGATATCGGCGGCTCACGGGATCCAGATTCACAAGAGTCCGCTCAGGAGACGTCTTTCCAGGGACTGGGGTCATCAAGCGAGGTCGCGGAGAGGAATGCCCTGGGAAATCATCGACCGGGTGCTGACCGGAACTCCCTACATCCAGCATGCTACTGCGAGGGCAGCGAAGGCCGCACATGCTATCGCTCGAATAATGCCCCGCTCCGGTGGAGCTAACAACCACCGGAGGCGATTTCTGGATTCCGTGGTGGAAAGCATACTTCTGTATGCGGCTTCGCTATGGATGACCACCGTCTCGAAAGCAACGGCCAGGACAGCTCTAGACAGGACGCAGAAAATCCTTGCACTGAGAGTAGCGAGGGCAAACAGAACTGTCTCCACCTTCGCCCTGGTGATTGCCGCCCAGCTCTCGTGTGATCTCCGAGTCAGGATGCTATGTGCCCGCAAGGACACTGAGGGGTCGGACGAGACTGTCGATGGGGAGCCCTTTGGCTGGGACGACGCCGTTCGTGAGTGGCATGGAAGATGGAGCAGTATCGAAGTGGAAGACCCCGCTTTTTTCACCACTTGGCTGTTACCCGACATCTACGCATGGATAAATCGCAAACAAGGCTCTGGCCTGGCTACTCACAGGCCATGGTTCCTTTCTGAAATACCTTTATCGACTCAGACTCAAGGGCTCTCCCAAGTGAGTGCTCTGTGACAGTGAAGAAGACGACGAGCCGGTCCACACCTTCGAAAAGAGCGCTGATCTGGAATTGAGTTCTGCAAGCTCGCCGGACGGGCTGCTGGCATCACCATCCTTGGCCTGGTCTAGGCCATGCTCCACGACCAACACCAGTGGAAAGTCGTCAGACGGTACGCCAGCGCAGTCATCGGATACAAAGACCGCATCGGCCGCTGCGGCAAGCCATCACAGTTTCGGATCTGAGCCTCGGCTACCGAGCTCCGTCAGAGATACTCGCCTGGAAAGTGTGTCGAAGCCAAAACGTACAATCGACAATGGGCTGCACGGAAGCGCGTCGAGTTGCCCCAGGGAGTCAGCCGCGATCCCATTCTGAGACACATAAAAAGCCTTCCGTGGTCCGATAAGCCTCGGTCACGATGATTACGGGTCATCTTGAAGCAGTCACAAATGCGAGTCTACCCAACATGTAATGCCTCTGGCTCGCCGACTCAGGAACGAATCGCCTGAATCTCCCATCAATCAGGGATTCCCCCGCGGACGATTTTTTCCATGACTCTACGTGGGAAAACTCGACGGTACCGGAGCGTCGGACATTACTCTCGGAAGATTCAAGCTGAAACTTTCGATTCGCTCCCAGATTCGGGAACGGGTGGTCATTCGATACCTCCGGGACCCTCTTTACTGTTCCCTGGGTAATTGAAGATATTAAATCCTCGATGTCGCAACATCATCGGTTCGCCAGCTCGCTCTACTACATACGGCATCTATTCTCTCGCAGCGACTCCGATCATCCGAAACTTTCAGTCATCCTGAGCAAACTAGCTTCGCTCTTTTCTTCGACTCGAAGGTATCGCTCTCTCATAGACAGGGATGCCCATTCGGTCCCAACACGATGCTCGGAACATTACAGGTCGTGAGCGGGAGATTTCGTGAAGAGTCATCGAAGGAAAATAAGGCGAAGTTTACATCGCGAATGGAAACACTGTGAGAACCTGAAG